ATTTTCAATAATCCTTTTTACTACTAATTAGTGATATGCTTGTGGTTCTCCGTTGTTATAGTTGATCGGATTGTTCGATTTCTATTGGCATATGGGCTCTTATGAGGATGCCTCAATATTGACTGAATATTTATTATGATACTTTGATTTGTTGTACCTAGCAGAGGAATCCAGGATGCACGTTTCGTCCTATTTGGGACTAGCCAGCTTGATGTTCCTCCACCCAAGTGCACAGTGTCGTTCCCACTGACACTAGAACCTCGTACACATCGTTTTAAACCCCGAATCGTTATCCTGTTGGGCCACTGAGGTACGATAGTCACCTCTTGTACAACAGGTATTAGTTATTTCTATTTCTTGATATGATTGTAGTTCTCCATTGTTTAACTGGACCAAATTGCTCCTCCTCGACTGGCATATGAGCTCCAATGCAGATGTCTCGATAAGCGCGTCCTGGATTCTTCTGCTAGCCATGACCAAGTTAATGAATTCTTTTTACTGTAATTGACTTGAAAATAGTATTGCTTTTGTAATACATTTTATCTGTAGATAACTTGTCAGTAATATGGTTTTTTGTCCAGTATATATCACCATCGTATTTGCAGTGTATTTAAAGTATAAAATAAGAGAACAGAAAACTGAAAGCAATCCAACTAGTTTGAAATACTTTCTCTTCTTATACATTCTGAAATGTTTTCATAAATTTACAAAAAACAATATATATAGCTATAAGGATAGAAAAGTTAGTAGTAATAGTAGTATTCATATAAGTATTACTTACACATTACTACGAGTGCATAAATCAATCTACATACAGGTACAAGATCATCAGAAAATAATAGTCAAAATGATGCAGATATGAGTATTCTAAATTCATTTAGTATTGATCCACTTATGCAATTATTGATGTGCAAAATAATACCTATGTATGTGGTTTATATATATATATATATATATATATATATATATATATATATATATAAGCACTATATACCTAGCCTATAGGTACAAATTAAAACACATCCAAATAGTCAATGTATGTCGGGCACTATGATTTAGTTAATGATACCTACTATGATAATAGGTGTGACGTAAATGATGAAAAGTATTCATAGTATACGTTAATGTGTATATGAAGGCTTATCACTTAATAGCTGTAAATTTATTCAATTACAATACTTGTGTGTTTTGTTTGTGTAATCAAAGGATAACTAGTCTGTTTATCTGTCTACCTCTATTGACCTATTGTTATCTAACAGTTTATCAGTTTTCTTTACTGTCTATTTATCTTCATTGATAAATTTACCCAGTTTTAGTTACTAGTTATTGTATACATCTTAACTGTCTAATTGTAGCGAAAACAACTTTCACTGACTCTGCTTAACAAGACGATATAATGTACATTTCACAATAAAGATTTGAAGTAATTAGTTCCTTTAGTGACTGTTGGCAAGACAAGATAATTTAAACAATATTAACCATAAAAGTACCTTTTCATCATTGACCAACATCAGTTGGAAGAACACTGGAAACGTGGGAGCATTGGACAGCTGTTTCGTCCTAGTGTGGGGCTCCTCAGCAGCTCTTACCCATGGCCCTACCCCGCCAAGGCTGCACCCGAGGATCTTTAGGTTCGTAGCCAGCACGTTACCATTGCGTCACTGAGTCGGAGCTAACGGTCAATATTTTTACTACTTCTGTTGTAAAAATCACTAAATTTACACAAACTCCTAAATACAAAAGCACTTGTCAGAAATATTTATTTGACACAATTACGAAACATATTATCCAAGCAGACTATAAAATAAGTACTGGGTGGTGACTGAAGGTGAAATGGAAACTTGGACCGCAGCCGGATTCGAACCAGCGACCACCGGTCTTTTACCAGCTGAGCTACGATGTCCGATCGCTGACCTGATTTTTATTTCACTTCAACCACCATAGGTTTCGCCTGACTACCACAGGAATTCGTCTTGATCCGTTACTACAACTTGATCGTTATCACGCTGCCTGTCCAGTCAGGACTTCTCTTCGCAATCCAAATTTAACTTAATTGGAGGTAGAGAGTATCATAGTGATCATCTTATGACTACAAAATAAGTGTTTATTCATCTCTGAAGCTTAACTACGGAATATTACAGGAATGTATCCTTACATATGTGCCCTAATTTAATGATTGTAGACTAATTTAATTTCTTATATTGTGATCCGGTATGATATCATTGTAATAGGTCAAATTATACAGGTTATACGTTTTGAGAGATTCAAAAATCTTCTCAGGTTTAAAGAAATTATCATCTAGTGATTATTTTTATCATCAACATTTTTCTAGCTTTTGTTCATAAGGATAAGGAAAAGCCATCCGAGGTGAATAATGAGAGGAAATCATCTTTTAAGTGGCATGCTTTTGGAATTTATAAACGATTAAGATGAATTTGAAAACGTTTGATGAAGTATATTCAGTCTGCTGAGACAGATTCCAATTTCTTGCATTTAATTAGGAAATAAACTCTTAAACCTTGAGGAGAAATCAGTTGTGATGGGTTAACTTTGAAAGCTCCCTTTATCTTAACTCATTTTTCACTGTTAACTAGATATGTTGGTATCGATTGTTGCTTTTATCTAGTCTGACTTGTGAATGTGATGATATACTCGCCTAAATGTACTATGTGTTAGTAACTTCAATGATGTAGCTACAGTGACAAACTCAGACAAATAGACTGAAATTAGGTGGCCTATCTTTACATCATAGAGGTGAATTTTACAAGTTGAGAAATGAGAAGTGAAGGTTATTCGCTAATTCTATCTCAGATACGTCACAGTCTCTCTGACAAATACAACTGCACTTGAATTTCAAAAACACATGCATTTTGGAAAATACTGGCAGCTCAATGTCCTTTGAAGTTATGTATTTTGTAGGGAACTTCGTTACATATTCTATTCTTCTTCACAGGTAATAGATAAATATTTTTGTGCTTATGTGTGTTAGAAACCGAAATTTTCTAGTGATGCCACTTTTATTGATAATACCGGTGAATTTATTTGTTCTTTCAGACGTCTGAATGTCATCTTTTTATCTACATTCTCTCTTGAAATAAAATATGCCTACATCATATGATTATACATTTAGTTTGAACATTGAATTTCGTAAAGAAATTCATCTTTGACACTACCTCATCCCAAGTTGATGTTTTTTATCATAACATAGATAACTTTAAAACTTGCTCAAAATTAAAATGAAACAGATCTGTATTCAAGGTAGAATTCTCCTATAAAACAACTCATAAACTTTCTGTCTCATTTCTAGAACAACAGATCAGTTTATCAACCCATTGTAGCACACAGTTTCAATATTACGAAATAGTGAATAAACCTCAGTTCCATTAGTCAGGAAAAGAAGTCTAATTTATTCATCATACACAACAGATTGAAAGAATTTGTACGGATGATGCAGTAAATGAGGAGCTGGAAGTAATTCGAAGAGCGTTGGTCAACATTGGTTATCCTTCAAGATCCTTTGAGAGGAACATTAAGTATTAAGTATTTCAAAGAAAGATTATTTATGAATATTGGATTCAAGGGAGATACATTGGCAGATGTATTCAAGAAACAACTGTACAAAGAAGACCTCGTTTTCCGTCCAGCTTCGGATTGTTTTCCCTAGTTAGCAACTAATTCGAGGGCGTATAAATGATAAACTACCATTTTAAGGCAGTTCTAAGTGTATTTACTGATTCGCTTGCTCTTGTGGAGGTGGTTACATAGGCCTCACAAACTGTGTCCTATCCAAACGCATCTCCGAATACTATCCTGCATGACTGTCTAGAGGACATTGTGAAGCCGTTAACAGCTTTATTCTTGAGCACTCGGTTAATTCTGGTCACCGTGTTCCATGACAGCCTTCTTTCAAAGCCATTTATAAAGTCAAGCCAAATACTTTGAAGAGTGCGCATTTGCTACCTCAGCACGCCAGAGGATCTGTCAGTTCAGCACTACAAGCCTGTTCTTCGCGTCTGAAAGAAATATACTCAATCTCTAATTTTGCGTTGGTCGTAACCTCCCGAAGATAGTTGATTCATTTCATCGCGTATTTACTGTAATCCTATAAGCAATTTTTCATGACCGTGATTTGACCTTCTAGGCGTTATCACCTTGTAACTTCATTGACTGCTTTTGATGACTCACTAGTCACTGATGTGAACATATTTTGTTGTATGGTTACCTTTTAGTTTGCTGGTTTGTGGGGATTTAGTGATTTTACAACTTGTTATTCATCACATATTGAGATCAGTTGGAGGAATATTGGAAATCTGGGAGCACTGGTCAGCTAACTCGTCCTAGTATGTGACTCCTCAGAAATGCGCACCCATTACCCCACCTCACCATGGATCGAACCAACGACCTTCAGGTTTCGTAACCTGCACCTTATCGTTGCAATCCAGTGGTCCATATTTCCAACTTCTGTCGGTTTACAAGATAGCGCGACCATCACCCAGTGTCATCCTTGAGTATCTGTCCTCATAGTCAACAGGCTTGTCCCACCTCTGGAAGCTAGTCACTATTGGGCACTAAATCTGAGGGGTTGAGGGGATTGCGTGATTTTTCAACGGTAACCTGCTGGCCACGAGCCCTGACGGTCCTGGGTTCGAGCCCTGCCCGGCCAAGGGTGCACTCTGCTAAGTCCCATACTAGGACTAAACAGCTGTCCAATACTCCCAGATTTTGAATGTTCCTCCAACGCATGTCAGTCCATGATGAATGCCAACTTGAAAGTATGATTACAATTGTACAGCCTTTGAAAATGATTCGTCGAAAAGAAAATTTTCATTGCTGAATTGTCTGACTGTAATTTTTCATGAATTACACTCAGTAAGAGATGTCATTTCAAGAAAAAATAATCGAATATTAGCGTAAAATTCAAATATTACCAATTTCTTCAACCTGCTTGTTTAAGCAACAAATATTTTTATATTCTGTCAATTTTTTTTAATGTTATCTAGACACCAGGCTGCTTTATCAGATCATAAAAAGCGTGTTCATGGTCCACGTGAATACATTTGTGGAATATGCTCAGCTGATTTTGCAACTGAAACTTACCTACGTTCACATGTACGCATCCATGACGAGAAGAGATTTATTTGTTTAGAATGTAAACATGGATTTTCAAATCCTTCTGATTTAAAAAATCATATGAGAATACATAATGGGGAAAAACCATTCGAATGTGAAGTAAGTAGATTTACAAAATATTTCTTATATTCAGTTCATTATGTTCATAAATTGTAGGTAAAGGTTTGTTTGTCGATTCAATAACTTAATCCAATCCATTATGTTACCGAATTAGAGAAATATATTTTAATTTCTAGATATTTAGATCAGCTTCGAATTCAATGATTTAAACAAATTTTGACTTGCTTTGACCTTCATAAAGGTGTTATCATTAAATGGTGAAACCTGAATAAAAACAATCTTGTTATTCCCTTCATTTACTAAGAAAGATGAATTGAAAAATAAATATTATTTTCTTTTCACTGAAAATACTCTTTTAGTAAAATGAAAGCATTGAAATATCTCTATTTCCTTCACTTTTACGGAGAAGTTGCATTATTGTGTTACGAGAATGTTTAAACAACACCTTGTCAGTTGAATGAAGAACACAAATGACATTTAAACTGACTTGTTATTTAATTAGCCTTGTAGGCCTAATTTTATCCAGGCTTATGCTTTACTTCCCATTAATCTCACTACTGGTGTAATTGGTGATGAAGAAACACTTCAACTTTCGCTGTTAATAACTTTAATTACCTTTCAACTAAACGGAACTCATCCTATGTACTGATGTAATTAATGGAGGAGAGATGGGCTAGATGCGAAGCAGTTAAAATTGATCAAAGCTATTTCATTTAATGGTCTTGAAAGATTCATGATAGATAATTCTTGGCTGGTTGTGAAAAAGAATTTTAATGGCAACCATGATTAAATACTAAACACATAACTATCATTGGTGAATTTTTATAACTAATGACGTTCAGTCGGAATTTCAATTGTTGTCGAGTTATAAGACCATTCGAAGGATTTCTTTTTTATTACAAATTTCAGGTCATTTAGGATTACAACATGCAACTCTTAATAACACAAAGTTTCCAGAAAAAGTAAATGTTGTTCATTATTTGGGTGGTTGTAAAAATTGTATGTATAACATAAGTACAACAGATAGCTCATTGTCATGACTTCTAAGTTCTGCTTTGTTATTGAACATGGAAAGGAAAACATTTAAAGTATACTTCTTTTTGAATAAGATCAAAGGATATTACTCAGACTACTGTTGTAGGCTTTGTCTATAAAAACTTGAGTATATAAAGCAATAAATAGACAAGAATTATGTCATCATTTTAAAAGGCTTCGTGATAAACTTGAATTTTGATTTTCTTTGAGTTTGGATCCATTTTAAGGTATATCCATTGGGCAGTTTGAGTTTAATTCGCATAGCTTTCGCTTAGAATTATCGTCTTAGTCTTCTTTAGCCTTATACATTTACATCGCGTTTTAAAGCTAAGATTCGAGTGTAATGCCAGTCTTTCAACCTGCATAAAATATTGTGTTCCCTCATAAGTTTTTGAAAAAGTATTACTGGTACTGATTAGAATGACTAACTTTATTCTACGTTCCGTTCCGTCCTGTTATACGGCTGATATAGCCGTTAAAAGTAGAGGGTATGAAATGGTTACAAGTTATCTATCACAGGTGTCCTCGTTGCATTATTCGCGTTTCATGGGATCATCATGTGAGCTATGATTTAACTAGTCTGTAGTTAATTTGCTCTGCCTTTGTTTGCTCCTCCTATTTTTCTCATATGACTTGAACAACTAGGATGTAGAACGCTTGACTCAATTTTTTAATTGTTTTCGGTTTATCAGTAATTAAGGCTTTCTTCTTAATGTTGTAATAATGTTGTCTTTTCATTTTGGAGTTTCACGTGAATTTATCGATTTCAAGTTGGTATTCATTGTGGATTGACACCAACTGGAGCAACATTGCAAACTTGGGAGCAATGGATAGCTGTTTCGTCCTAAAATGGGACTCATCAGCAATGCGCACCCATGACCCCACCCCATCATGGATCTAACCCATAGCCTCAGGTTCCATAGCCAGCACGTTAGTGCTGAGCCACTAGATCGGAATCCAAAGGTACATATTTCTAACTGCTGTCAGTTCACGACTTAACGCGACCATCACCCGAGCTAAGTCGTGACTGGTGGGCAAACCCAGTGGACGTGAGGACAAAATATCAGCAATGATGTTGGGTGACAGAGGTAGGAAATACGGATCACTGGATTCTGACCCAGTGGTTCAGTGGTAACGTGCTGACCACGGAACCTGAAGGTAATTGATTCGATTCCTGGCGAGGCTGTTTCATGGATGAGGACTTCTGAGTAGTTCCATACAGGGACAAAACATCCGCCCAGTTCTTTCAGGTTTCCAATATTTTTCTGACTGATGTCAATCTACGATGAATACCAACTTGAAATGTTTTTGTTCTTTACTGAACTAACTAAGGATTTGTGGACGATTCTTATACGTCACGAATCGAAATTTCATTTTGTGTCTGCAGGGTAACGGATCAAAAAGTATTTTTACCCAGTCCACATTTTGATGGATAGGATGCCATTATGTGTGTCTCTTCACATTCAGTTCTATTTATGTATACATATACATGATTTATCGGCTCACAAATATATATATATATATATATATATATATATATATATATATATTATACATATATATATATATATATATATATATATATATATGTCTGACTAACAATCAACAAAGATAACATGTTGTAACGTGTTCATTATAACAAGCTTCGGTCTCAATGCTTGTTTTCCTGAAATGTCATATATACATATATATTGTAGACGTCATCAACTCCTCTGGAATGTATAAGTTGAGCGGTGTAAATTTACAGTAAGCAAATTAATTAAGGAAATCAAAATGTGAAACTAAATTTAGCAACTTTTACTTAATTACATGCTCTATGTACATGACTGCACACACGTAATTGTTTAATGCTGGAATATTTTACATATAAATTGCAGATTAAAGTGATATACAAACACTAAAATAAGAACCTTTTTTAGGTTGGAGGGTCAGATTAAGCTACAAAATACTCGAGGATATGTTCATTAGATGTGGTGGTGAAAATCAGATAGATTACAAGTAAATCACCAGTCTTCTAAGATAACATTCGATAGTCAGGCAGGTGGATGGATATAAATATAATATCAGAATTATGGAGTAGAATGTGTATACATTGGAGGATGCGAGTAGAGATGAACAGTCAATTAATTATGGATGAAAGCACAGTAATAACAGAAGTGGTAAAGAAGTTAATTCAAGTTATGTCGTACTGGAAGTACTACTTAGAGACCTAATACCTCAATAGCAACGTGCTGGCTGTGAGACCGAAGGTCCTCGGTTCGATCCCTAGCGGGACAGGCTTATGAGTGCGCACTGCTGAGGAGTCTCATACTTAGAGGAAACAGCTGTCCAGTGCTATCTGATTTTCAGTGTTACTCCAACTTATGTTAATCCAACCTGAGATGACTAAAAGATCTTGATTCTCTTCTCCATCACTTCAATTAAGTTGCGAATTATACATATGATCAGTGGTGTCAGTATATTATTTTATGTATTTCCTTAGTTGTAAAAATACTTACTTGGTAGTCTACACAGACCTGATGATATGGTAGTCTTCAGTTTTGTTAAATTAGTTTGAAAAAGGATTTTTCTGGTTATTGGAGGGGTTTTGATAGCAGAATTAGTCAGTTTATTGTGAAAACTTCTTAATTCATCGAAATTTAACTACATCACTTAATACTCTTAAAGTCTTATCACAGAGAATTTATGACGCCAAGAAAGTTTTCACACAAAGTAATAGTGCTTTTTAGCAATTTCATTAACTTCAACCTGTTTTATTTAATAACGAAGCAGTTCAGCAGAATACCAGTACTAACTATAATGACGAAAACCATAGTTATTTTGAAGAAAACATGCGGTGATAATGGAAAGCAAAGCCTATATAAACTTTCCATACTTTGACTTTCTCTATCATTCAAAAACCAAGAATTAAAAAGTGGAATTTAGTCAGTACATATTATGACTGTAATTTAGGGTGTAGTTTGTAAGTTCCAAGTTAGGAAACTGTGGAATTAGAGTTCCCAACCGATAATCATGTAGTGAACTAGCAATATATATTAATGCGTTGGGAGAATAACAGAACTCAGACGTTGCATCGCTGAATATAAATCGTGAATAGCGTATATTCGAATCTCGAAAGATGTTCAAGTTTCTTTTAGCTAATAGTCTGCTGCACAGTCCACCTTGACATATCTCAAAGATGAGTAGTTTTCCAACTAATGAACTACGGTGTCAACAAGGCTGCCAACCAAGATAACACGGTGTGGTTTCTGATTCAAAGGAGTCATGAACTAGCCAAAGATACTACTAGTCAACAACTTTAGTAGTTATAAATCACTACTGATCACGTTTTTCAGTGGAAGTATCTTTCACTAGTTCATGATTCTTTTGTTTCAGAGATCATGCCGTGTAATCTCAGCTGAGTGGTTTCTGGTGAAATTCCTGCTGACACCACAATTTGTCAGTTGAAAAACTACTCAGTTGTGGTCAACGTGGACCATATAAATTTGTAAATCATTTGCAGACTGATCAACCTATCTTGAGTTTGCCGGTCCACGTTAGCCAGCTTAAGGTGATCCGAACTAATTCGGCTCTATTAGCTGAATTCGCTCAGACACACTGTTGATGGATTTGTCTCTGAACCACCGAAATGGCTGACCGGCATTTAGATGACTCTGATCTCGCTGGTGAAATACTGCAGATCGGCATGAATGGTTTCCAACTACTCAAGTTGTTCAGTAGTAGTGTCTTTTACTTGGAAACGTAAATGAAGAGTTTATTACGTTCACGTCTTACCCTATGTTTTGAAATATGTTCCAAACAATTTCATTCTTGCACTGTTCAGTCATTAGGCAGAATCCTTTATCATGTTTTCTGAAGCTAGAACTTAACTGAACCTTGACGATAACAAGTGATTCAACATCATAGTGCGATGTATTTTGTAATTAGTGTTATTGCTTGCATATCGAGGCATCCACATAGCAGCTCATATGCCAACAGATACTGATCAATTCGGTCCAATTAACCGTGGTGTAATACAAGCGATAACACTAAAACTATACCCATTGCACAAGAAGTGACTCGGTGGTGTAGTGGATAACGCTTTCACGTTTGAAGCGATCGCTCCTGAGTCCGAATCCCAGTGGGAACAACATCACTCACTGGGAGGTAGGTACATCCAGCTGACGAGTCCCAAATAGGACGAAATACGCATCCTGGATCCCAGTGCTAGCCAATATCCATCACTACTATACATTATTTTGTAATTGTTTTGACTTTTTCATGATTAACTAGGTTTACCAATCAGTTATGAAAGTTTTTATGACCTTTCTTAATAAAGAAGTAACTAAATTACACTAGGATCAGTTCAGGATTATGAATGCAAATTTTCAGTCGAAATATGTCGGCATTGCTTCTATTTTAAGCTACACACTTAACTGACCATCTCTTCAATATTTCTTAAGGTTGTGCGAAGGAGAAACGTACAAAGGAAAAATTATTCAAAGAAATTTCAATCCTTTCGGATGGGAATACTGAACTTGTGTATATTTTAATTCATATATGAAAAAGATTGTTGAGTATGATTTTGTCTAAATTTCTATGATTTTTGTCTGATGACTTCCGACAGATAACTTATCAGATCTTAATACAATATGACATGAATAGTCTGTTCGCAAAATTCAATAGGACAGTAACTATTTATTTTCTTAAATATTTCTTCTCTATGGTTTTTCATAGATTGCATAAATAACCAAAGTTATTTTAGAACGTTATGCTTACAAAACGAATTTAAAGATGATGTTTGATATATTTTCTTTGACAAAAGCATCTGAGATTTTCATTCTTAAAAAACTACTCCAAGTGGTCTACTCAAGATTTGTAATCTACCACTTCTTGTTCACTCCCATTTATAAGTAAGTAGACAGTTTTACCTTACTTCTTAAGAGTAGGTTTCGAATTGTCATGAACATATATGATCACTTTTTAAAATCTTAGCTTCAGATATTATGTCAGCATGTTATAAGTGTTAGAATCTACGAATCAGAGGGGAGATAACTTTATATATTTAAACTAAACCGTTGTAGCAGAGTATTCAAAAAGAAATGTTTTTGATACAAATCAGATAACAATGGTTTTCATTTCGCAGATTAATTTAAAATGCATTTTGAACGTCACATAATATTCTGATATTATTGTTTTCCACTTATTTGATGAATAATCCCATTTTATCAATCACTGCTCATTCGACGTAGAATTACAGGATTATCTATTATTATCTAATATCTCATTTTTATTTAATCCAGTATTTCTTAATCTTTGCAAGCTGCTAGAGGTATATAGTTCTATAATCTAATAATCTTATCACTTGGTTTACTAACTAGGTCAGGGTAGTTGAAAACGCATGAATTTCGGCTGATGGGACATTTTTCGCAAAAAAATTCTTTTAACTGGACTTACGATAATGTCTTGTATGGCAAACATATATTAGATCCATAGTGTTCTGCTTCAATGAACTTTGAGAACAGAAAACACAAAGAAACTAATCTAAGGCTCAAAAGGTTTACTGCTGTGAAGAGAATCTATACTCTGATTCTAGCCATCTACCAATTGTAGTAAGTTAATTTTATAACAATAAGAAATCAGCCCCACTGGGAACACCATCATTCATTGGGGTGTAGGTACACCCAGATGATGAGTCCCAAATATGATGAAACGTGCGTCTTGGATTCCACTGCTAGTTACCATTTAAATTACAATTAACAACTTCGTTTCATCAAACAACAGTGTTTGTCAAACTAGTTACTAAATTAGTAGTAAGTAGCAAGACATCATATGTCAAATACTTCCATGCAAAAATTTGCTTTATTTTTTTGTTTCCTTGGTCAAAGTTTTTCAGTCATTATGTTTTATTTAGACACTTAAAATAAATGCTAACAAACCGTATAAATTTGTTTCATAGGTATGCGGTAAAGCGTTTCGCCATGTCAGTGGATTTTATGCTCATATACGTATTCATACAGGAGAAACACCATATCAATGCGAATTATGTGCTAAAAAGTTTAGTAATGCAAGTAACTTCCGTATGCATAGAAGAGTACATACAAAAGAAATGCAATTTCGGTAAGTTTTCTAGTTAGTATGATAATTTACTTGGTTGTGGCTAGTAAAGAAATCCAGTACGTATGTCTTCAACTATTTGGGATTCATTCAAGTAAATTATCATAATAAATATTCAGGCAATATTGAGGCATCTGCGTAGGAGCTCATATACCAATACGGGTCGAACAACTCGATCCAGTAAAACTACAGAGAATTGTAAGCATATCAACAAATTGTAATAGTATGATCATCTGAATAATTCAGACCATTCTAGCATAACGACAGAACTCTAACACTTTGGATGCAGTTACATAATTAATGAGGGTTTGTAAAATAAAACTACTTAAATTAGGACTTGTAAGACGTTTTCAGCTTAGTCAGTTTATTAGTTACTGAATTAGCTAGTTAGACTACTAATGCGGCAACTTAGCTTTAAATGTAATGAAGTTACCATATTAGACTAGCTAATTTTGATGCACTGCACAGTAATATGGTATTATTTGCTGGATGATGTTCCGCTCAGAATTTACTCTTCACAATCGTATCAAGGTTAAGCTCATACAAAGGTCATGTCAAGGTAATGAAGTTTGTTGAGATTACTTAACGCATTTTTAAACAACATAGTGTTTGTATTAACTGAATATGATGCATTGCTACTGACTGTTATCAACTTTCAAAGCGATGCATAAACTCTTTATTTGCCTGTAAATTGTTATGTATTGGAAAAATTTATCTCTCGTCTTCGTTCCTTTCATCAAGCTTCAGAATTTTGTTGTAGATGTCTTATACTTTGTATTAGTCTTATTACAGTCGTCAGAAGAGTGGCACCCAAGATGTATTTCTAGGCGCCTTTTCCGCTAAATATTATTGATAAATTTTACTTAAATGTTGAGTAGGTGACTAATTATGAAGTGCTTTAGTGCACTAATTTAACAGATACTGACTTTAAGTTGACGGAAAACTGAGACCTACTTTGTATAACTTCGTGACTACAGAACAGAACGATAGGTTGAGGTTTTCATCCCAATAGTTGAAAATTATATTAATAATACATTTGATTTCAAGATACTAACAAGCTGTGAAGGGTGACCTAAGTCTTTTCAAGAACTGGAGAGGAATCATGCTCCTTTCCACCCCAAGAAAAATATTAGGCCGCACCATCCTAGAAAGAATAGAAAGAAAATGCTCTGGATTCAAAATTACGAAAGAACAGGCTGGCTAGATTCAGAAAAAAAAATCATATGCAATGCTACGCTATGCATCATGACAGAACAGAGCATAGAATGGCAAACAACTCTCTAAAATACATCAAATTCATCGATTTTGAAAAAAACTTTCTATAATACCAATCGAGAAATAATTTGGGAGCTGCTTTAATACTAAAGATTTGTGCCACAAGCCTCCATCAACCTCGTTCAACAGCTATATGCTATTTGGCGACAGTACATGCTAAGTAATTCACAATCGAAAGCTCAGTGACGTCGCAGAATTCAAGACAGGAACAAGACAAGGCTGACGCCTACTACCACCGATCATCTTCCTGATTGTGGTCAACCTGACTGAAGTAGATAGGACTGGATCACACAACAAACTGTGAGAGGTGGACATACGTTGTTTGACTGATGAAAAGATCCAAGAAGGAGATTTGGATTTCGCCGCCGACGATGATTTATATCTAATGTCTTCCCACACAAACTCCAAGACCTACAGGTAAAAACTAGCGAGTTGACAGAAGAAGTGTAACAGCGAAGAAAAAACTCCCTTCAGGTTAACATGGAGAAGACAGATGTGAAGAAGATACCCAAACAAAAACAGCATCAACAACAAACATCAATCACCAACAACCAGCGAAACCCAAAGAAAGTTGTCTCTCTCACCTACCTGCATACACAACACCATTTCAACTACAAGACACGGCACACATAAACATATTAAAACAAGGATCGATAAGACAACAAAACAGGCTTCACTAATCTGAAATCAGTGTGCAGATCTACTGCTCTCAACTGCACTCAGCATAAAGTTTAAACAAGATGCGGAGTTTCAACACCAACAACAGTCAAGTCAGTGCTTCCATACGCTTCAAAAACTTAGCACATTACACAAAGCATTTCAAACAAACTACAGACATTCATCAACATCCACCACCTACGCTCACTCAATACTGACACTGACACTGACACTGAAGATCAGATGGCCAGAATAATAAGAATGAGCAAGAAGGAACTCTGGCTGGTGACGAACCAATGAAGAAGCTGTCACCCAACAAATATGCGTAGATGAATTCGGCATACACTGAGAAGACAGTTTGTGGACATCATGCACTAGGCCAGGCCGTCGAGTGGAAGTGAAAGGGGAAACGACGAGTTGGGTGTCCGAGGTGAGGGTGACATGGAGGAGACAGTGTGAGTAAGAAAGGGGAGCTTGTGGACAGTTGTGGGACCAGGTTGTAAAGACTGCAGTGAACGGAGTGAAATGGAGATGTGCTAATGAAACCAAATGTTCCACTAGGAACCCAAGGGAAAAATATTAATAATGATAACTAGCTTGTGAAATCTTATTTTTCTTATCCTCGTTAATACCCTCTTAATTCTATGAAGTTTGCTTGTGACTCGTCATTCGCTGAATCACAGCATTAAATGTTTATTTATTGTTTCAGATTTAATTTATCAGACTGCATGAACGATCTAGATATTGTCAGTGTTTTCGCATTCTACTCTCCACTCTAGTAGGCTAATTTCGTCATTTGCTTCTAAATGATTAAAAAAGGCCTTTAGCCGGGAATTAAAATGATAGCTTTATAAATTGTTATGCTTCTCATATAGACGATCTTCTTTCCGACTAAACAGCACAATCAGAAGAGTTCAACGGAGTAAATTAAAACTCAAAAAACTTTTCAATTCAGTTTTGAGGTCCATGGGGATTTATTTGTTTATTTCAGGTTGATATCCACTAATTGGAGAAACATTAGAAACCTGAGAACACTGGGCAGCTGTTTTGTCGAAGTATGAGACTCCTTAGCAGTACACACTCATAAATTCGCCATGTCAAGGATCGAACTCAGGCCCTTCAGGTTCTATTTGACTCAATGATAACATGCTGGTCACAGAACCTGAAGATCCTGGGTTCGATTCCTGGTTGGGGCGGTGCCATGGGTGTCCAGTGCTCACAGGTTTCCAATGTCTTTCCAGTTGATGTCAGTTTATTATGAATACCTACCTGAAATTTTTCTAATTTATGGAAAGGTAAATATACTCAGCTATTGAATTGTTGAGAGGCAGCGAAGACGGGACTTCACGTGAATATAGAGAAGATAGAGGTGATGAAGATACCACACCAACAACAACAAACTCCAGTCACCATCAAAGGAAGAAACTTAAAGGAAGTAACCTCCTTCACCTATCTAGGAAGCAGTGTTTCAACTACAGGCGGCGCCGGCACAGACGAGGATGTCAAAGTCAGAATCGGAAAAGTAAGATAGGCGTTCACTAGCCTGAAACCAGTGTGGAGATCTTCTGCACTCAGCATGTGCGTGAACAAGATACGGATTTTCAACACCAACGTCAAATCAGTGCTTCTGTATGGCTCAGGGACTTGGCGCTTCATGAAAAGGGATTTCCAATAAACTACAGACATTCATCAACAACTGCTTACTCTGGCTCGCTACTGAAGATCAGAGGGATTGCCAGAAAGAATAAGCAACAAGGAACTCTGGCCCGCCAACGAACCAACCAAGAAGCTATCACCCAACAAATATGCAGGAGGAAGTGGGGATGGATTGGGCATACACTGAGAAGGCCGACTGGGTACATCACGCGTCAGGCCAGTTGCTCGAGTGGAATCCGAATGGGAAGCGACGAGTTGGACGTCTGAGGTGAGGGTGACATGAAGGAGATAGTGCGAGGAGGAAATGAGAGCTTGTGGGCTGTCGTGGAGGCAGGTTCAAAAGATTTCAGAGGACAGAGTTCACTGGAGACGTGGTAGTGAAGCCCTATGTTCCACTAGGAACCCAAGGGACTAATATATATATATATATATATATATATATATATATATATATATATATATATATATATATATATATATATTGAATTGTTGAAGTTCATCTGTATTCTGACAATAACCCTTTAGCCATTAAATCATATCATGATGCTCCTTGATTTTGATTTCATAAAACATTTCAATGTTTCAATAAAAAAAATATTCAATTTTTCTTCCGTCAATTAATAACATGTATTTTTTTTTACATAATTTAGATGTCAAACATGTGGCAAAGAATTTATTCAACCAAGTAATTACAGTCGACACTTACGTATACATACAAAAGAAAGACCATATTCTTGTAATCTTTGTTCAGCTGAATTTCTCTACTCCACTTCACTTAAACGACATCAACAAAAATATCATGGATTAGAATTAATAAGATGTCAATTGTGTCAAAAAACATTTCTTAATGAATCATGTCTTATTCGACATCGTACTGGTTGTGAACTACGTGCTTGTATTAAAACTGCTGATGAAGAGTTATATGCTCAATTATTATAAGAAAATACAAGAAAAAGAATTATATTTTATCAGTACTGATAAGTAAAGATTTAAAATTAAGAAAACAAAAAAAAAATTTATTTTGTTTAACTTTTTTTTATTTGCTTAAAATTATTAACATTACAAAAAAGTTTTTTTGTTGGTATTCTTTCTTTTGTTATACATATTTTTGGATATATTTTACACCTTTTTTTTATAATAAACATTAAAATATTGTCTCCTTTGAACTATTCTGTTGAAGTTGAAAAACTGGTTGTATAAGTTTTATCTTGACAATTTCTCCTTTTTCCTTTTTGTTTAACAACACTTTTGATAGGCTAACACGCTTATATTTTCGTTGATATCAGTGATAAAAATAATTTTAAAGTGTTATTAATAATGATATTTGTAGGGATTTATTGTAACAATGAGATGATTTTGAAGGTGAAATTAGTGGTAAATGAATAGTTAAGATTATTATTATTATTATTATTATTATTATTATTATTATTATTATTATTATTATTATTATTTGTCCCTTGGGTTCCTAGTGGAACATTTGGTTTCATTAGCACATCTCCATTGCACTCCTTTCACTGCAGTCTTTTCAACCTGGTCCCACAACTGTCCACAAGCTCCCCTTTCTTACTCACACTGTCTCCGCAATGTCACCCTCACCTCCGATGCCGAACACGTCGTTTCCCCCTTCACTTCCACTCGACGGCCTGGTCTGGTGCATGATGTTCACAAACTGTCTTCTCAGTGTATGCCGAATTCATCTACGCATATTTGTTGGGTGACAGCTTCTTCATTGGTTCGTCACCAGCCAGAGTTCCTTCTTGCTCATTCTTATTATTCTGGCCATCTGATCTTCAGTGTCAGTGTCAGTGTCAGTATTGAGTGAGCGTAGGTGGTGGATGTTGATGAATGTCTGTAGTTTGTTTGAAATGCTTTGTGTAATGTGCTAAGTTTTTGAAGCGTATGGAAGCACTGACTTGACTGTTGTTGGTGTTGAAACTCCGCATCTTGTTTAAACTTTATGCTGAGTGCAGTTGAGAGCAGTAGATCTGCACACTGATTTCAGATTAGTGAAGCCTGTTTTGTTGTCTTATCGATCCTTGTTTTAATATGTTTATGTGTGCCGTGTCTTGTAGTTGAAACGATGTTGCGTATGCGGGTAGGTGAGAGAGACAATTTCCTTTGAGTTTCTCTCGTTGATGTTGATTGATGTTTGTTGTTGATGCTGTTTTTGTTTGGGTATCTTCTTCACATCTGTCTTCTCTACATTCACTTAAATATTCAAGTTGGTGGATATTAACTCACGGTAGAGTTTAACCATACATTCTAACTGAAAATCTATAAATCTTTAGCCTTCAATTACTTTTTTAAAGGCGGTAATTACCTTAGAAATGATGTGAACTAGATTTCCAATTATTTTGATAGGTGACAATGCTTTTCACTATTAAAAGGTATGCTAAACATGACGATTATATTATCATAGACATATACAGATATTTGTAATGTACGTCATGCTTAACATGTGAAGACTGCGACTCACTACATTATATGTCAAAACGAAAAACAGATTAGTGATCCATTGATCTGGTAGTTTTAATTGGTTTGCATATACATTTCACAGACTTTTTCTCAAAGCAAACAATAATAAGTAAATGATATGGAATATTATAAAGATAATACATGTGCAAGTTCTAGGCGAAAAGTTTGAACATCGGAAACAGGTTGATTGAAATAAGTGATCACCTATGTCTGTTGTACACTATGGCAGAGTGTAAGTCCATAGAAGACAACTTTATTTGATATCGTGCATAGTGTACCACAGTATTAGTTACTGGATGAAATTCTGAGCACACTTTATTTCTTATAAGCATATTGAAGTAACTACCCAATTTTCAATACCTTCATTTTATTCCTCTAGAAGCAAAATAAAGAAAACTTGTTGAAATATAAGAAAGAAAACTGAAAATTTTGTGGTTATCTTGACATGCTGATCAGGAATAAACTGCACCTAGAACCTTATCCAGTAAATCGAATTATTCCAAAGATCACCGTAGCATATAGTGAAGTAGCCAGTCTCGTGCTTCTATTTTGACGGGATACGTAATTTTTCATAAAACAAAGAAACATGACTTACTATTTCAGTAAATGTCACGGCAAACTTTAGAGCCACTTTAAGTAGTCTTCTTGAGTAATAGCTGGATTAACGTTGGCAAAATCTTACTACCAAGCAATCACCAATTAGATCAGTAAAGGTACACCTGATACGCATACTCTAATTTGAGTAGGAGAAGAAAATATGGTTTCACCTATTTACTGTCCCATGGTTTCTAGATGTTTTCCGGTTTTTTCTCATAAATCAGGGAGATGATTATTTAACCTAATCATCATTATTGTAGTATCTCAGTCTGCAGAAGTTGTGAGCACAAGAACTTTATGAAGGCAAACTGTTTTCAAAAACCTTTCGAACAACCTTCCATTACATCTTGTGTAACAGGAAATTAGCTCCACAAACGTTAACAATATGAATATAGCCTCCATGGATGCGGAAGTTAAGATGGGACTTGCTTTTTATTTCTCCAACTTCGTCACAAAGTTTCGCACCACCCGGCTGTATCAGTCGCATATACAAGTTTATACACTTACTATCTACGGTACAGACATAGTATTCATACGTCGCCACTAACACGCAAATCTACACGAAAATATTCACATATTTAAATCAGTGACTAATGAAGAATTTGCAGCTGAGTAGGCTACTGTCACAAATTAGACTTCAGTCGGGAAATGTAAGATTTCTACTGAAAAGACAGTGTATTAGAAGAAGATAGGGAATTTAAGGTGTGACTAAAGCATTTCTAAAAGTCTGTACCACAATTTTTTTTTATCACTGTCTATTTTGCAACAAAACTGAGCTTAATTACTTCTTATTAAATTCAGACTTAAGCAGAATAATAAAACTATTGATACACTTCTCATACTTTAGACAATTCATCTATTTCCACTTTATTTATTTTGCAGTCACATGAAATACATCTCCATTTTGATGCATTCTATCACACCTTTATTATCATTATCTTCTAACATTCATATCCTAACAGGAGTTTCTGGCTTCAACTTGAAAAAAGGTGAAGTGTAGTTCATTTTCTCTTGAGGAAATTATGCATAACTAAAAAAGACATTTTGGTACAATTGATAAATCCACTCTTAAGCTGAAAAATATAAAAATGCACAGATTGTTCTGAGATGGTTTACCTCCTGTTTTGCGGAAACAGGTGAATAGTTATAGGTTAGTAAGACAGATAGTATTTATTTATGTGCTTGTATCACTATTATAATCTAGTTCGAAGTAGAACTGAATAATAAAGTAAGAAAATAGTTTATTACTTATTTTTACCGAAGAAATATGAAGTTTTTCTCATAAAGTCAAATTTAATGTACATAACTAAAGATTACACTGAATTATGTATAACCAAACGCGTTTATCGAAACATTACTGATAGTGCTTCATGTCTGTGGAACTAAACTTATTTATGTAAGAATGCACCTATAACTTGATTTTAGCCCTGATCACTTCAGTTTCATTCCATATATATAACATTAGACAGTGACAGACCAAAAATTGTTTTGTTCAATGGAGTCCAGAAGAGATTACACTTGAGATTCAGAGCAAGAAACGTTTCGCTCACGAAGTTGATTATCATATCATATGTATTTTAGATTTGTCTCCTGTTTGTTAAAGCGGTTGTCACAGACTTCTCACTGTACTGTCATTGTCTGAATCACTACGTTTCACCAAAATGATTGAAATAGAACTCTTCCATCTGACCTCTGCATACATAAGGAGAGTCTGATAGTCTCTCACTCTCTCGGTCAATATGATTTGATCCCGTTTGATTTTCATTCTAATTACGTAACTCGTTGTTTATTTATTATGATTACTTTTACGTTCCTTACATTCCTAACCTCCCAGTACAACTAATTTATTTACAGGTTTTATGAATTATCAATAATTTCATTGTACGATTTGAAATTATTGATGTCCTAAATTTGGAATATCTTCTACCGTAATAACCATTGTACTTTTAGGCAGTTGAAGAGTATTCCTGAAATATACGATATCAGATCTCATCACTGTTATTATCACTATTATTATTATTTGTCCCTTGGGTTCCTAGTGGAACATTTGGTTTCATTAGCACATCTCCATTGCACTCCTTTCACTGCAGTCTTTTCAACCTGGTCCCACAACTGTCCACAAGCTCCCCTTTCTTACTCACACTGTCTCCTCCATGTCACCCTCACCTCCGATGCCAAACTCGTCGTCTCCCCTTTCACTTCCACTCGACGGCCTGGCCTAGTGCATGATGTCCACAAACTGTCTTCTCAGTGTATGCCGAATTCATCTACGCATATTTGTTGGGTGACAGCTTCTTCATTGGTTCGTCACCAGCCAGAGTTCCTTCTTGCTCATTCTTATTATTCTGGCCATCTGATCTTCAGTGTCAGTGTCAGTGTCAGTATTGAGTGAGCGTAGGTGGTGGATGTTGATGAATGTCTGTAGTTTGTTTGAAATGCTTTGTGTAATGTGCTAAGTTTTTGAAGCGTATGGAAGCACTGACTTGACTGTTGTTGGTGTTGAAACTCCGCATCTTGTTTAAACTTTATGCTGAATGCAGTTGAGAGTAGTAGATCTGCACACTTTCGTCATTCTTACTCTATTCAAGATAATGCCTAGTGATGGAAAATTTAATGGACAGAAATTGGAAGAATATTGATATTCATATAAGTTGAACGTCCTAATTCGTTTGTGTTGTCATGTCAGTTTCTTTCTGTTGATATTTCAGAATTTCTTAGTGAGTCTTTGTGTTCATTTGCAAGTAGAGAATATTGATGTAATGCGATTCAAAGTATGCCAGGAAACTGTATTAAAATTTGACTTGTAAACTGTCTAGTGAGGAATAGTTTGAATGAGTAATTCACCAAATATTAGTCAATTTGGCATCAATACGGCTTGAACTATTTGGATTTTTTTCTTCTGCTAGTATTTGGTAACTGGTTGATTGGAATCAAGTGTTCTGAAGCTGTGAATGCTTGTATTACATATATGACCTTTTGACCGTCTAGAAATGTTAAACATAAATAGGTAAGGTAGTTAAGACTTCATAGATGTGTTCAAGTGGTGAATACGGCTGACGAAATCTAACTTGTTACATAACAAAAATTTAAATGATCTTGAAAAGCAGAGCAACTGATCTTGATATATTATCATGTAATTGAAACATAGAGTTAAACTATAATCATTAATAAGGTTAGTGTTGTGTATTGAAAATGTTTCCAAAGGATTAACTTAAATTCACTGATTAATTGACTGGTCAAAGCAGACATCAGTCTAACTGCTGTCCCCATTTTTACTAGACACTGTTCAATATAAGCACAAAAAGAAAATCATTTTCGGTTGTTTTCTGATACTTTACTTTTAGTGATTTTATGATAACTTCCAATTTTACTGCAACTGTTGTCTGACTCGGTGAGACAATAAGATAAAAAATTTATAAAAGCCTAATATAGGCATCATCGTATTCATAGTCTTACAAGTTTTCTTGATACTTTCTGGTTTGTTCTTGAAAGTAAAGAACTATTTATTCCATCGAGGTATCAGATTAGGTACTCAGACGTGTAGTCATGTGATTATCTTGGAAATTCTGACTAGGTTCGATCATATCTAAATTGACTTGGTGATTTCAAGATTCCTTAGGAGTTTTCGAGAAAATACATGATGCGTACGAACAATTTTTACCCCTCGATAAGTGACAAGTACTAGAAGAAGAAAGTCGGCGAAGTTCTTAAGTCATTTATTGTGTTTTACTGAGTTTAGGAAATGGCTGTATATTCAACAAGGACTATTGGTTTGGCATTCGCTGTTAAAATTAGTAGACTGGATCAGGAAAAAATTACTTTAGCCTCCTAAATCGGTCGTCGGTATTTAAAATTCTGTTTGTAACTCTGTTCATGAGATTGTTTGTCGTTATTTATTTCCATTCCAATATTCAGAATCTGTTTTACGAGTTTACAAAGACCACTCGACTTCTTTGCATACACTTCTATGTTTTGCAAAATGTTTCCATATCTTTAATGGATTCTGATGCAGCAGATTTAGCTACTTCCCCACTATACTACTTTTAAACTCCGGGGGTGTTTCACTGTTGGTCATATTTTTCGGAAGATGTATGATTTTAAGTCAGTATTCATCATGGACTGATATCAATTGGAGAAGCATTGAAAACCTGGGAGTAGTGGACAATTGTCGCATCCTAGTATGCAACTCCTCAGCATTAAGCACCAATGACCCCCCCCCCAGATATGAAACCCAGGACCTCCAAGTTCCACGGTTAGCATGTTACGTTGAGCCACTCGGTCGCAATCCAATGGTTTATATTTCCTACTTCTAATGAAACCGTAGTTCAGATAGGATCTTGAAATGTCATATCTGCAGATGGTTGTCCAGACTGGTGGTAAAAGAAAGACAAGGGAATCCCAGAGAAATTCAAAGAGGGGAAAGGATTGGAAGACAAGCTTAAAAATGGAAAGACAAAAGGAAAATCTGGGTAAATTAAGAGGAGAGACGATGGACAAAACTGATATGGAGGACTTAAAAGAAAGTAGTTAAACACTGGAAAGCAAGAGAGAGGGAAAAGAGCACGGAAAACTAATGTAAGGACAATTGAAACAGAAATAATGAATATATTAAAAGGAGGAGGATAACGGGAGAGGTTAGATTTCTAATAAAAGAGAGTCGATATCAACACAATAGAGTTCAGGAATGGTGAGACACTACTGAGTTACTTCGGTTTAATCTCTAATTTTTAAACAGCGAAATACATCCATTTGCCACAGGAAAAGACTAGACATGGTTGCAGCGAAAAAAATGTTTCTTTTCGACAAAGTCATTTACTAAGCTGTACATTCGTGAATATATTTTACAGTGGGCTGTTGTGATGCCTGAGTATGTACAAAACATTGTTATCGATCTGAACATTTTGACATGTCATTTTCATACCGATGGCGGATAGGGTCATTTCATATGTATGCTTATTCACGTGTTTTGGATTGATTATTATTTTTGTAAAACGCTGGACAATGAACTCATTTAGTAATAACTCTCTTATCTGCCAGCTTCGGTCTTCTCTCTATTCATCCCGGGGTTGCAGTCAGTGGCTCTTGCGTACTAAGTTAGCTGTGAGCTAAGCGTGCGTATTATATCGTTCGGTATATATAACAATTAGCGTTCGAAAGTTTAATATGGGCAGAACGTTCCAGAATTACCTCCCGTTAGAGGGTAAAATATATTGAATAACCAAAGGAAGTTAATTAATATATATTTAGGTTTGGAGTCGGGGAATAGACATGGCACTATGAAATTAAATGTAATTATGTAATACAGGATCAATGTATGATAGAGTGGGAATAAAAACAAGGAATTACGAAAATAGTTACCCAATACAAGATGAATCGATGACAGTCAAGGCTTTGTGATGGCCATGGAAAAGATGAAAGTTGGGCGTGCCATTTCTTGGACGCATAATGCTGGTCTGAACTTCTGGAAAGCTAGTGCTTCATTTATAGACAAATGCATTGGTCTTGACCCCTTCGAGTAGTTTGATTAGACCCTGAAGAGGGTTTTGAATGGCCTCTTAAAAGGAGCAAAGTGGTTTGAGTTCATGAGGTGTTGAGTTATTGAGCTGAAGATGCATTCCCGTTCTCTCTCGGTCAACCAAGCTAGGTTGCGTTTGCGGGCACGTTTTACAAGCGGACTCGTGATGCGGCTGATGTACTCGGCTCTACAAGAGCAAGTAAAGTGGTATACACACACTGATATGGCCCAATGCGTCGGCTTGTCTTCCACACACTGACTAAAACGTTTCCCACGGGAGAAAATAATTCGGAGGTTGATGGCGAAGAATTTCCTATCAAAGGATTCTGACAGTCGTTTCCTGAGGATGTCTGCAGCAATATCACTCATAAATTCAAGACTCAACAAAAGAAGCTTTTTCGGCGCCAAATGTGTTCGTTCAGCTAGGTTCTTTGGCTTTACGTACGTATCTATGAATTTTAGCGGCAAACCGTTTTCCGTTAAAGTTCGTCCATGGTTTTGCGGTTCTCCATCAACAGTGCCTCAATATATATTTTCCTGATCCTCAACGAAAATGAATGGATAAGGTTTATCATCTTACATAGAGGGGCTGGACTTTGAAAACTAAAAAACTGTCCGTTCCACATAGCCTTTCTGTAAATCGATCTACGAAGTGAATTATCGTCTTTTCTTTTGTGTTGGACATCAAGAAGATGGAGCATTTAGTTTAATTCTGATTTCAGAGTGAACTAGGTCGAAGGGTGGGCGTTGTTAAAAGTATGAGGCAGATTTGCAAGATTCATTTTATCATCCCAAACCATAAACGTATCATCCATGTACCTTTTATAGAGATGAAGTTCACTGATTGTTGATGATAAGTTGGTTCTTTCTAGGCTTGCCATTATGCAGTGAACTAGGAAAGGTCCTACTGGAGAACCCATTGCCACACCGTTTATCCGCCTGTAGATCCCATGATTCAATCTGAAGTGTACGTTGAGAAATATGTCGAAGGAGAGCCTCTCCTAGATAGGGAATCAAGATACAAACATCTATGTTATGACATTGAATGAGTTCACATAGTAGTCAGATGGTTCCCGTTAGTGGGACATTTGTGAAGCGGGCCATGATATTCAATGAAATCATTCTTTTACCTGTCAAATTGACATTTTTTATTGGATCTTCAGCATTTGTCCTGGTGCGAACTTGACAGATGCAAAGACCAATCACCAATTATTTGGACTTTTTATATACCCACGAGTACGAGACCAAGGAAGAACACGATATCGTAGTCGGATGGAATAATATATTTGGATGGTTGTGCCAAGATATCGATGCTTTCCAACTAACTGGCTAGAGAGTCGAATACGATTAATGCAACGTAACACGACAGCGTGCCAAATGGCCAGGATGCTTGACCGGGTGCCTTCAGCCTAGCGAGTCCAGTTAGACTATCAAGGTCAGCATCAACATTGAAAGTCGTCAAACCCTAGGCTATCGATTTTGGGGAAGTGTGTGACGCTACAGATCAATCCCCCCTAAAGGGTTCGTGAGGACCCTAAGACGATATCAGCCGGAAGTAAAAACCCAGTGGTTTCTCCACTGGTAAAACTCTTCCAACAGGCTCACTGCGTGAAGTGGCCCCTGGTTGTCTGAACTTATTCTAGGGTGTCGTGGCAATTAAAAAATAAAATACAATGGATCGAATTGTACGTCAATCGTAATCCTCAGTTTTCTTTGACGTTCCGTCCAGTGCTCGTTGCACCTGGAACATAAATGAAAGTCTTTAATACCATTAAAACGCTTCGAAAAAATGGGAATTATGTATATACAAATATATCGAAAGTAAAGTTTACGCTTATTTTCACCGTTTTTTTTAAAAAAGTTTCATTACATGGTACTAAAAAAATTGACATAAAAAGGCAAAATGTGCGAGGATTTGCGCATTGCTGGTAAATAAGAAAAACAGTGCGTCGGAAAAAAAAATTAGTAAAATAAAAAGTATGGTTGGCACATTTATTTTACACCGCTAAGTTGAATACGACTTTAAATACTCCGGGAACCTGACGGTTCGACTTGATCGTGTTTTTTGTTACGCCGATGGTTGTCGTAACTATGCATTACGAGGCACATCATCAAGAATCTCGATAATTGAGCTATCCGTCAGTCGGCTGTAGTGAGCTGAATCGTCTCTTGTAATGGGGTGCCTTCCAAATAAGCTGGTTTCAAACGGTCGATACTGACAGTATCTTCACGTCCGTTTCGCTCAATTATACAGAATTCCTTGTGTCGCTTGATCACTTTGAATGGCCCATCGTAGGGTAGTTCAAGTGGTCGACGAACGGCGTCGTCGCGAATAAACACGTGTGATGTCTTTTGTAAACTGAGGTGAACGAAGACATCAGTCGTCTGAGGTCTAACCGGAGAAGGCCTAACTGAACGCATTGCGTTTGTAAGCCTAGTCACGTACGATGCCCTGTAGAAAACATTTTTGAAAGTTGAAGGAGAAACAAACTCACCTGGTAGGCGAAGAGTGGTCCCACTGACGAGTTCTGTAGGGGTACATCCAGCATCAACTTTCAAGGCGTTACGAATACCTAGTAGGACTAGAGGCAAAGCCTCGATCCACTGAGGTATGTTTGCAGCTGAAGGGGAAGCTTTCAGCTGTCGATGGAAACGCTCCACTATGCCATTTGCTTGCGGATGGTAGGCTGTCGTTCGGAACCGGGTGCAACCTAAGAGTGCCGTTAGAGCGTGAAATAATCCACACTCGAAATGGCGCCCAAGGTCGGTTGTGACGTAAGGTGGACATCCGAAGTTCGCGATCCATCTTTCGACGAAAACACGAGCAACTGTTTCAGCAGTAATATCCTTAATAGGTACTGCTTCCGGCCATCGTGTGAAACGATCAACGCAAGTGAAAAGGTAGGTACATCCATTAGATTCTGGTAGGGG